CTTCCGGGGCGGGGAGGTCCGCTGGCGGGCATTTATCTGGGGCACCACGGGGACGGGGCCAGGCTGGCGCAGGGCGTGGGTGGGGCAGCTCACACCGCCTGTCCTCCGGAGGCGGGGCGGCCCCAGCTGGGGAATGTCCTGGTGGAACAGGACGCCCAGGAGGACCACACCGTGCGGCTCAACTGCCGGTGTGAGAGGAGCTGGCGAGAGGCGAGGTGCGGGCCGAGGGTGGGCTGACGCCTCACCCAAAGCACCCACCCTCACCACCCAGCGCAGGCCGGGCGGGGGCTCAGGCCTCCCGGACTGCCAGGAGGCGGCAGCCAAGCAGACGGAGGAAGGGCTGGGTGGGCACTGTACTTGAGGTGCTGTGGGCGGCCCCTCCATGCTGGGAAGCCAGACAGGGTCGCTTCTGGGCCAGCTCCCAGCCGCCAGGTCCCTGGCCCTGCCTCGGGCTGCTCCGGCCAGCTGCCCTTCCAGAGCGCAGCGGGTGTGCCACGCCAGGACGGGTGCCCGTCTCCTGCTGCTTCCCTCTCCATGCCCGAGACTCAGCGGGCAGACGAGTGAGGCGGTGGAGAGACGCTGCTCTGGGCAGGTCACCCACCACCATGGGAAGACACCATGGGGAGGGTGGGTGCTGGGTCTGCCTGTGCCCACCCAGCCATCTGCTGAACCAGCCGCGCCAGCCCTGAGTCTGCTCTCAGGAGGGCCGAGAACAAAGCCGCCGTGCAGCAGGGTGGCCCCCACGCGCTGACTTACCTATAAAATATATTATTTATCTGTTTTCTGATGTAAGCTCTTAAGCCTAAGAATTTTCCATAGATTCTGTGAAGGGTGGTTTTAAGAAAATCTCTCTCTCGAGGATCTTCACTGTCAAAGAGCTCTAGAAGCTTCAAGGAGAAAAAGACACTCAGTGACTCCGCATTGCTGCAGATTGGGGCTTCTGAGGCTTAGCTAGTTGGCGCCTTACCTGCAATACAAACTTCTGATCAATATATTTCTTCGCTATATTAGGTTGGAAATCTGGAGACTCTAAAAATCTTAAGAAAAATTCATAAACAAGCTAGGAAGAAGGAAAAACAACAATGAGTCAAAAACCCTGGTATTTTTATGAAAACAAAAGCACCCCATGAGCTGAATGTGCTGTCTGCAGGTACGAACCTCTCAACAACGTCTGCAGAGCTGCCCAAGCCGGCGCAGCTTTGCTGCAACCGATGGCTTCTTACCTAGCTAAGGACCACGGACTGCCCCTCCCCCAACCCGGTCAGCCCCCCCGGTCAGCCCCCCGCCGCCCCTTCCCTGTGCCCGGGCCGATGCCGACTGCAGCCGCCTCGCTCTCTCCTCTGGTGATGCCCCCGTCCAGCTCTCGACTGGCGGCTGTAAACGGGGCGCAGCTCAGCCGCCCGCTCACTCTCACCGCCCGGCTGCGGCCACGCCACCGTTCCTGGAGTGGCTGCGGCGTGAGTTTCAACCTTATCCACGCAGCTTCCACTTTTAGCCATTTGGAGAGTCCAAGAGGGGCTGTCTTTCCTACCTCACTGCCATCTCCACCTGGGGCGACCTTTCACCACAACAATTGCTGTGGTCGACTCACCACGTTTCAGTCATGCCGTGGGGGCTGCCGTGGCGGGCCGCCTCCCCTCCCCAGGGCCACACACTGTGGTGGTCACGCAGCCACCCCAGGGCAGGGAGGGCTGTGCACCAGGACATCCCTCCTTTGCCTTCTCCCTTGTGGGCTCCTGTCGCGTCTCCCCTCTCCACACCCCCCCTCCGGGACCTCCCAATGGAGCGCTGCCGCTCACGCTGGGGCCGCAGTCTCCTCCAGGCCAGCCTCGCCCCGCCTCCCCACGAGTGTGCACGGAGGAGGCAGCCCGCGGCCCTCCGGTGAACTCTGGGCCGCGGGCAAACGTCAAGCGAAGTGCGCGCACGTGGGGCGCCTGCCCACTCCCAGCGGGGCCCGCGGCGCCGCCAGGCGGTCGCTTCCATGGGCACATGCTGGCCACCGTGTGTCTCACATCTGTGTGGGGCGTCCCACAGACAGAGGAGCAAGAGCGCTGCCTGCTGACCCCGTCCTGGCAGGCAGGGCCCGCAGGCCTGGGCCGCCAGCTGAGGCCACGCAGCCAGACACGCGGACTCGGGCCCCGGGGCTGGTACCTGCAGGTGAGGCCAGGCTGCTTCTAACGTCGGCTCGTCTTCCTCTGGGTCAAATTCTGCTCCCGTAGGGTTGGAGGAAGGTGGTAATGTTCGAAACATGTTAACTGCAAACTAAAATCCACATGTTCTATAATTATAACCAGGACATGAAACATATTTACAGAGAACATTTTAAAAACTTAACTCTAAGGGCAGCCGCTTCACACTCACCCCCGAAGGAGGGCGGCCCAAGCACTGCGGCTCTGTCGGGCACCACCATGAGCTGCCCACCCAGCCCTCTAGCCCCTGACCGGGCAGGGTGGGGTCTCTGCAGCTGGGAGACCTGCCGAGCGGGAGCATGTCCAGCGTGCCAGAAGAACGGCGTGACGCCGAGGAGACACGGGGGCAGAGGGCTGCAAACGGCAGCCAGTGCTGCCGGACGCCAGGCCCTCGACGGGGACAGCACATTAGCCAGACAGCCGCTGTGCGCCCAGGACCGGACACCGGCGCCTTCTCTGAGTCGTCAGGACACACGAAGACTTGAGCAGGAGCAGCCCTCAGGGCGAGGCCGAGGCCCTTGTCTGACCGCCCGCTCCCCCATTCAGCGCCGTCAGCCTCCCTTAACCAAGGCGCCTTTATTTTCAACTTCATAAGAATCTGTGTTTTTATGACTGTTTTCTACTAAAGCCTAGAATTCTTTGGAGCACAGTCCATTTTAATGCCTATATGGTTAATATGGAGTCAGACCTCTCAATAAAGCCCAGTAAACACTGACGGAATAGTGGCATATAGAAAAGTTCGGTTTCCGGTATTAGTTGATAACCCGCTTTGCCGTAAGAGTAAACATTAATGTAGCTGCCGAGTGCACCTCGGAGGCCAGCATGTCCCAGTTACAGAAACAGCTCCCCACTCCTCCACAACCCAAAGCATAAAATCAAAATGTGCAATAGGAGAGGTGAGACCCAGCCCCATGACAGGACCCAGGTGTCGGGGCGCCCAGGCACCGGCCTGGCAAGGCCCAAGCCCACGTGCAGCCCCACATACTGCTTCTTCCTATCTTTGCTGTGGATGTTGAACTATAGACTTCACTATCACTTTTTAGCACTTTTTGCTCTGCCAGCCACCAGCTACACAAGCCCTGTGTGTAACACATTCTCTGGGCCTGCGATCTGCTGACATGGTGGCAACTGCAGACAGGTGCAGAGGATGCGGGGGCAGAAGGAGTGAAAATAGTGGGGTTCAGAAACAAGTGATCCAGAAAAGCTTTCAGTAAGAATGGCAGTGCTTCATAGGAGGGGTAGAATGGACCAGGTGAGAAAATAGTAATAATAATGAACAGCTATAGACCAGAGACATTTTGTGGGGGTGGAGTGGGGAGTGGGATCAAAAACAGCGGGGGGAAGGAAATGCACTGGACTGTGGTGATGGCACATGGATGATTTGGTGTGGGAAGCCCACGGGGACTGCAACTGAGATGGAAAAGGCACTGGGGCCTCTCAGTGGTGTGCATGGGCCCTGGCGAGGCTGTGCCAGGGGACAGGACTTCTCCTCAGTCATGCCCCCGTGTCTTAGGGGCTGGCAGGCAAGGGGCTTCTCCTGCCGTTCTGCCCGAAGCCCACTGAAGAGAGCAAGGAGATGCTGCGAGCCAGCCATAGGTAAAGGTCATGCCCTGCATGGGCTGCCATTTCTCTAGGGCTGGGAGCAGCAGGATTGGTCCCTTCCTGGGCTATGGAAAGGTGGAGGGGTGCTCAGAATTGAGTTTGGGGTCTTTATGCAGGCAAGAGAGTCGCCCAGAGATTGGGGTGGCTTAAAAGGCAAAATGAATGAATGAATGAATGAATGAATAAAGTGACAATAAATATGTGCATTCTAGCAGTTACCCTAAATATATATATATTTTAAATTTTAAATATTTTTTATTTTTTTACATCATTCTTCATTACCCTAAATATGAATGGTCTAAAATTAAAAATTAAAAGGTACAGGGAGGCTGAATGGATCAAGGAAACAAAAGCCACCCTTTCATTTCCTATAGAAACTCACCTTCGCTTTAAAGACAAATATAGGCTCAAATTAGAAGACCAGAAGTTAACCCTATAAGCAAACAGTAACCTACAAAGGGCATTATAGGCATAGTTCTATAAGACTTCCACTAAAAGAGATATTAAGAGGGATGAACACTGCACACGACTGAAAGCTTAACATACCAAGAAGACACACTTATTCATATGTATGAGCCAAATGGTGAAACATCAAAATAAAACAATTGCTAACAGAGCTAAAAAGCAACCCTGAAGACAACGCATTAATGTCTGGCGATTTTCACACATTACTTACAACAAGGAAACGGAACCTTAAATGACAAACTAGACAAGGTGGGCTTAGCAGGCATTTATAGACATCCCACCCTAAAAGAGCAGGACTGACATATCCTCAAGTGCACACGGAACATTCCCAAGAATAGGGTCTATGCTGAGAGAGAAAACAGAGGGCAGCAAACTACTGAAGACTGAATCACACCAAACACCTTCTCTGCTCAGAATGGCTCTAAAACTAGGTCTCGACCACAAGAAAAAACAAAAACGGAAAAACCTCAAGCATGTGGAGACTGAGTAACCTGCTTCTCAGTATCACTGGGTCAATGAGGGAATTACAGCCGAAATAAAACACTTGGGGACAAAAATGAAGGCATGAGCTGACAGAGCCGATGGGACGGGGCAAAAGCGATGCTCAGGGACATGTCAGTGGCTTACAGGCTTTACCTCAAGAACCATGAAAACATCTCCAAAACCAATTTAACCCCACAGCTAGAGGAACTTGAGAAGGAGTAACAAATGAAACCAAAAGTCAGAAGGGAGGAAATAATGAACAGAGCAGAAATAACTGAAATTGAAACCAAAAAGACCAAGCAAAAAAAAATCAGTGAAACCAAGTGTTTGTTTCTTTGAAAAGAGAAACAGAATGAACAAGCTTTTAGTTATGCGAAGAAAGGAAAGAAGAGAGAAATTCAGAAATGGAAGAATAGAAATTACAAGAGCCATCACAGAAACACTAGGAGCCGGGAAAGAGGAAGTTCCAAAATTTAAAAGGATACAGTTTTAGAATACAGCCTGTAAGACC